TGGCCAGAATTAAGAGGTTCGGGAATTATGTTTTTTTTTTTTTTCTCATTTTAATTGAAACTAGCTAAAGATGCCCATGGTCGAAATTTGTGAAAAAGAAAAGAAAGCCAAAAAAATAATTGCAGAAGCCAAAAAGGAAATTAAAACAAAATCTTATGCTATGAATCTTATAGTTCTAATACCAAGCAAAAATGGGAACATGAGCTTCGTTCTGCATTTATCTTTCCTACTAGAATTTGTTAATTAGGTCTGGTTTTAGTACCATTTTTTTTTTTTAAAAGGGCCTTGTTCTTTTTGCATTTGCTGGTACGAAACACAACAAGAACAATGATTGAAAGCACTGATTATCTTTAACCTTATCTTCTGTCTTAAGAAAGACTCCTCTTTATTTCACTCAATATTCCAAGAATTGACTAGGTGGGGTCAAAACATATGCGCTGTATAATGTTATCGCTGTTGAAGCTGAATTAGCCCCCAAGGTCCAATTTTTTTGAAGATTTTGTTCAGATGTGTTAAATGGGAAGATTTCGGTTGAAACTTCCAATTAATGATTTTATGAAAAATAAGGATTTATTTATACATAAATATTATATATTATATTTATTTACAAATTAATTATTGAATGATTAAAATTTTATATAAATATAATGTATAAAATTTATATACAAATAAACTTTTACTTTTGTATGAAAATTGATAGGATGAGTAAAACAAAGTGATGGCGCAAAGAAGATTGTTGAGGTGGTGGCCATTGACACGTACCATGGTTTAATTACCTTAATGTTATTATCAAATATAGGTATCTGTGTCATGAACATTCATTCATACCCAGGGACAGAGCATAGGGGACCCAAAAACAGTAACCAAAAAATTTATTACCTCTTTAATGATTTAAAGTCTTTAATAATTGAACTAAAGTTTTTCCTAATCTCACTTTCGATACGTAGAATTATTAACACTCCAATAATATTATTACAATGTTATATATATTACAATATGAAATAAGATTGTAACATATAAAATATGTCACAAAGATTTGTTGTTAAATAATAGTTCATGCCAAATTTTCAATTTTTAACTCTATTCTATATGTCCTTGAATGTTCATAGATAACAAATATAGTTTGCTAGAATTCAAGTTAAATGTACACCAAATTAACCACTAATAAAAGAAATTAAGCTAAATATTCCTAGCAAAACTATATATAGTAGAAATCGTGCACTCATTTTTTTGAAGTACTAATTAATGACACATGGGTAATGTTGTTGAAGATAGTAAAATGTAATGCTTAATCACTAGTTGTTATTCTTCACATTAATTAAGGATATTTTCTTTTATATAAAACATGATTTATAAAAAAGTATTGCCTTTTTATCAATTAAAATTGCTAAATTTGTACAATATATACAGACTCTGTAACGATATAAAATGCAGCAGTTAAAATCTAACATTCAATTACTTTCTGTAGTACCTAGAATCAAGCCTTGATATGTTGCGTTGATGAAGCCTTGATATGCTGCGATGATGTACATATAGCTAGTATAGCTAATACGCCCTGTCAAGTTGGAGCATGTAAGTTGTAAATGCCCAACTTGCGTAGAAGGAACTGAAATTGCTCTTTCCCAATGCTTTGGTGAAGATGTCAGCAATTTGGGATCGAGTGCAAACATGTGAAGGTGAGATAACACCAACCTGTATCCAATTATGAATAAAATGGCAGTCAAGTTCTATGTGCTTTGCTCGTTCATGGAAGACTAGATTGGTTGCAATGTGTAGAGCAGCTTGGTTGTCACAATATAGTCTCATTGGCTGAGGATGATGTACTCTTAAGGTTTGGAATAGTGCCCTTAGCCATAGTAGTTCCCTAACCGTGGATGCCATTGCTCTATACTCAGCTTCAGCAGAGGATCTTGATACAGCAGTTTGTTTCTTGGTTTTCCAAGCGATTGGGGAGTTGTCGAGCATGGTGATGTAACTAGTGGTAGATTTCCTTGTCATTGGGCAACTACCCTAATCGGAGTCACAGAAGGCACAGAGGTGAAGCGAGTTTGTTGATGGTAAGAAAATGCCTTGGCCTGGGGAAGATTTCAAGTAACGTAAGACTCTCATGGCAACATCCATGTGGGGTTGTTTGGGTTCTTGCATAAATTGACTTAAAATATGAATAGCATAAGATACATCAGGTAGAGTTATAGTCAAATAGATAAGTCTTCAAATGAGTTGATGATATTGTATTGGATTGGATAAGGTGCGACCCTCATCCTTGTTGAGTTTGAGCTTTTGCTCCATTGGAAATTTGCAAGGCTTAGCTCCTAGCATCTCTAATTCCATTAAGATATCGAGGGTGTATTTCCATTGATAAAGAAAAATTATAGATGGATGTTGAGCAACTTCAATTCCAAGAAAATATTTTAATTTTCCTAGATCCTTAAGGTGGAAATGGGCATGCAGAAAGTCCTTCAAACTTTGACAGAGGGAGGAACTTGTACCTGCAATAATTAAATCATTGACATAAACTAGAACTATAAGGATATTGTTCCCATGATTGTAAGTAAAGAGAGAGTAATCACTTAAAGATTGTTGAAAACCAAAAGATTTTAAAGCAAAAGTGAATTTTGCAAACCAATTTCGAGATGCTTGTTTGAGCCCATATAGGGATTTCCGTAGACAACAGACTCATTGCTCTCCTTGATGGCCGTAACTGGGAGGCAATTTCATATAAACTTCTTCATCAAGGTCACCATGTAGAAAGGCATTATGACATCTAATTGATGTATTTCGTAGTTGTGGATAGAAGCCATAGCAAGCAAATAACGAACAGTAACTAATTTAGCAACTGGGGCAAATGTGTCATGATAGTCAATCCCTTCAACTTGGGTGAATCCTTTTGCAACTAGGTGCGCCTTGTATCTCTCAATTGTACCATTAGCATTGTATTTTATTTTGTATACCCACTTGCAACCTATAGGTTTCTTATCAAGAGGTAGCATTTCTAGAGTCCAAGTGTTATTTTTCTCAAGAGTAACAATTTCATCTTGCATTGCTTGTCTTCATTTGGGATCTTGCATGGCCTGAGAAAAAGATTGTGGCTCATCTTCGATAGAGATGGTAGCTAGAAAAGAGTTGTGAGACAAACTAAATTTATCATAGGAAACAAAATGAGTGATCGGGTGTCGTGTACCTAGAATTTTTGTTGATTCACTTACTGATGTTTGAACCCCATTCAAGATGTAATCAGTGAGGTAGGTAGGCTTCTTTTTCTCCCATTGAGGCCGATGTGTTTTGCATTGGGAATAATTTTCACCAGGCCTTCAAATGGCTTCTACGTCATGCTCTAGCCCATTAATGTCGCATCGGCTCTCGCATGATGTGGCCGAATTTGGTGTTGGTTGTAATGCAGTATTTTCATGACTTGGGTTGGTGTAGGAGCTTGATTCTTGTTGCCTTGTCTCAACTGCATGTGTACTTGTGTTGGGTTAACTAGAAAGGAGTTCATGCCCATTTAATTTGGCACATGTGGAGTGGCCTTTTGTTGCTAATCCATCATCATCAAAAAGACTTGTTGGTGGAATCCCAATTGTTTGTTGAGAGTTTAATTGCCGTGAAGGAAACATGTTCTCATAGAAAACAACACCACGAAAGACAAAGATGCGATTAGTAGTCAAGTCAAAAACATGGTATCCTGTCTTACCTTGGGGATAACCAATGAAAATGCATTTGGTAGATCTAGGAAGAAATTTATAATGTGATATAGGGTCACGAGCATAACATAAACAACCAAATACTTTAAGATGTGTGTAAGATGGAGGTTTACCAAAGAGAAGTTCAAAGGGAGTTTTACCATCAAGTAGTAATGTAGGCGTGTAATTGATGAGATATGCTGCTGTGAGCACACATTCTCCCCAAAAAGAGATAGGCAAATTGGCTTGAAAACGCAATGCTCTTGCCACATTCAAGAGGTGTCAATGTTTTCGTTCCACCACTCCATTTTGTTGTGGTGTATAGGCACAAGTAGTTTGATGTATTATGCCTTGAGCGTGGAAAAACTCCTGCATAGGTTTAGACAGAAATTCTTGTCCATTGTCGGACCTTATTTACTTAACCTGCAATCCAAATTGTGTTTTGACCATATTGATAAACATGATTAAATAACGATAGACTTCAGATTTGAATTTCATAAGATATACCCATGTAGCACGACAAAAATCATCAACAATAGTAAGAAAATAATAAGCTCCAGAATGAGACGGAGTTTGATATTTGCCTCAAATGTCACAATGAATTACAAGAAAAGGTGATTCAACTTTTTTATTACTAAGAGGAAAAATATTCCTAGTTTGCTTTGCTCGATGACAGGCATCGCAACATTCAGGAAAAGACTTAAAATCAAATGAGACTTTATTGGATAGCAAAGAAAGTCTATCAAATGAGGGATGCCCCAATCTTCGGTGCCAAAGCTCCATCGAAGGTGGGGTGGTTACATTTGAAATAGAAACTACTTTCAAAGGCTTGAAATAATAAAGACCATTACACATTTCACCCATCCTAATCAGCTTTCTCGTTGTGAGGTCCTGTGATATGCAAAAGGTTGTTAAGAATATCACAGCACAATTTAAATTTTTAGTTATCTTGTTGACAGAAATAAGGTCACAAGTAAATTCAAAAATGTAAATGACATTATCAATAGTAAGATTAGGTGCAAGTGAGACTGATCCCATGCTTTGAATTGGGACAAATTTTCCATTTGGAATGTTAGCATGTTGATTGGAATTTAAATGATGCATGTGCTTAAATTTATATTTGCAACAACTAACATGATCAAATGCACCACTATCCAATATCTAATCACACAAGTTCATGAACTTCTTACTAGAAAAGTCATCTAAGGAGGACTTCTTTTTAGTACCAAGCAATGAAATCAGTTGGTTGACTTGATCTTGAGTGAGTCTCGAAATCACAACAGCAGCATTCGTGGATACTTGTGAAACCTGGTTCATGGCTTTGGAGTTCCATTGTCTTGGAAAATTACGCTTTTTATCCTTTTGGTTACTGTCAGTTTTGATCCATATATTATTGTCCTATTGTCCATCCCTTGGTGGTTATCCTATCAACCTGTAACATGTTTCTCTAGTATGGCCTAACTTCCCACAGTGATCACACAATTTAGGATTTGCGTGAGGCTTTGATGATGAACCCATGGCATCAAGTTGATTTGCATGGTAATTGGGATGTGATCTATGGGATCTCACATTGAAAGCAGCGGCTTCTACATTTGTTGGCCGCGAGGCACAAAGAGAAATTTCCCTTTCTTCCCGTGTAACTAAGGCATATGCTTTGCCAATGTTTGGAAGAGGTTTTGTATGCAAAATATGAGATCGAACACTACTAAAATTATCATTAAGTCCAAGAATAAATTGATGTACCTTTTCCTCCTCCTTGGCCTTCAAGAAATCCTTAGCTGCTCTACAAGTGTAGTCCGGGATTGGAGAGTATGAGTAAAGTTCATCCCATATGGCTTTGAGTTTGGTATAGTAAGTGGCTACTGAGAGATTCTCCTGATATGTGACAGCCAAGGCCCTCTTTAATTCATGTATTCTAGGTGCATTCTCTTGAGAAAATCTTTCCTTCAGATCTATCCATATCTCTCAAGCAATGTCCGCATAAGCCACGCTCCCATGTAATTCAGTTGAAAGAGAGTTATATAGCCATGAGATCACCAATGAGTTGCACTTTTCCCAGTGCTGAGATCCGCAGATCTATTGGACGGATGAGACAAGGATCCATCAACAAAGCAAAATTTATTCCTTGCTTGAAGAGCATTGATCGTAGCTCTCACCCCAAGTGGAGTAATTTGTCTCATTTAATGGGCTGGAAATTAGGTTCAAACCTAGATGATTAGAGGAATGAAGGAAATAGGGTGAAGAGGAATCAAGGACAATCGAGCCTTGGGTTTGGCTTTCTTTGCCTGAAGCTTTGTCGGTAGCGGTGATATTTTCCTCGGCCATTGTACTGGCGAGGTCAGTGCTTCTGGAAAAAAAGGAAGAATTTAGGGATCAATGCTTTGATACCATATAGAAAAGTATTGCCTTTTTCTTAGTTCAAATTGCTGAATTTGTACAATATAAGCTCTGTAACGATATAAAATGCAACAGCTAAAATCTAACATTCAATTGCTTTCTGTAATTAGTACCTAGAATCAAGCCTTGATATGCTGCGATGATGTACATACAGCTAGTACAGCTAATATGGTTAGAAATTAAAACCTCCCCAAAAAAAAAAAAAAAAACAGCTATTTCAAGAATATGCACACATAAACTTTGCATGCGATGCAATTTTAAATTGTCTCAAAAACTTTGAGAGCTAAAATCAATTAAGAAAATTTTGGCACTTCATAGTCTGATTAAAGGCAAGAAAAAAAAAAAAGTAAAAGAAAGATAGGGAATATACCTAATGAGTTCTAATAAAACTAAAAGATTTGCTTAAATGAATATTAAAGAAAAGTATAATATTTTTTCTTTAAAATCTTTGGAAGGCCATCCTCCCACTTGCCCTGACTATTCTCAGTACTTGTTTATACCTATGAAAGTGCACCAAGCTGGCTCTCTTTCTTTCATTTTTTTTTTCTTTTCTCTTTTTATTTTGTTTATTTTCGGCTTTTTTTTTTTTTTGGGTGGAATTTTATTTTTATTTTCGGCTTTTGCAGGCTTGGAATGTGCATCCGCCTGACTTATGTCGAGTGGTGAAATTCCTCAGCGGCAGTTGGATCATTTTGATCCAACAAGTGTCATTTCCCTTTTTTTTTTTAATTATTTTTTTTAAATAAGTTAAATAAAATAATATTAATATAATTTTTTTACAAAATTATTTAAATATATATTAAAAAGAGAATTTTATCAAAATATTTTATTTAAAAATTAAATATTTAAAATATAAATTTATGTAAAATAATATTAATTTTAATAATATAGCAAAAAGTGAGTTTTTTATATTCTTTTTGACTATACATACTCTTAGAATTTTCGTTCTGAGAAATTCGAATCGTATCCCTTCTTCAGAATGTGGTTGACTTTGTAGTTAAGCCATTGAAGTCATTTGCAAAATATCCAAATCCATTTTTAAAACATAGTGGCATTGACAGATTCATCTCTGAACAAATAAATAAATAAATAAATTTATTTATAAAATTTTTGAGTTAAATAAATCACTTCAAATTTAATATATGATGTTATTTGATGTCAATAATTTATTAATTTGTCATGGCATTAATAAGTTTATTGTTAATGGATTTTTGATGTTACATATTAAATTTGAGATGATTTGTTTAAGTTAATAATTTCATGAGGTTGTGTTTGGAAACTTGAATTTGAATTTGATGAGTGTAATTAAAATACATGTATTTCAAATATATGTATTTTAAAATACATTGTTTGGATATTTTAA